GGGTTTCGTGGTGGTTGGTTCAGTCGTTGATGTGGTGGGTTGCGTGGTGGTTGGTTCAGTGGTTGTCACGGTTGTTGGTGGCACAGTGGGACAACGACCGCGTCTCCTGGCTGCAGTATAAAATACGTTTGCAATCTTTAAAAATTGTAACATATGCACTTCGATTTTTGGTTATTTTGTGACCAAAGATAATAGATTACCACTTTTTAACGCAAAAATTATGCGAAATACTGTCATTTTACTTGATGAAAAATTGCAATGTTCAAGCTGTGATGTGAACTTCATTAATTTGAAAATTGGCACAAGTCATCAAAAAAAGTTCAAAGAAACATTAAAGACGGTAATAACCATGTGGCTCCTGGTTCAAAGATTAGGAAAGTATGTTTTTATACATGCATGGTAATACATGAAATGCATAAAGTTCGATTTTCAGTCAACAAGAAAGTCTGCTGTCTGTGGTTTACAGCAAAAGCCATCAAAAGTTTTTCCTCACTTTGAATCGTGAAATAAAAAAGGATACTTACATTTAGGTGTACAACGCTTCTTGGTTTTCTTTCCTTTTTTCTTATCCTTCTTGGTCTTTTTCTTTCCCTTATCCTTCTTGTTATTTTTCTTTTTGTCTTTCTTGGGTTTGCGGCGTCCGCGTTTGCTGCGCTTTACCCGCGTTGCCTCGTCGCTAACAATGATGTCGACATCTTTTTCGATACTAGTGTCTTCCAAGGATATTATAGAGTTACCATTGTCAGAGATGATTGGCCTGAATTAAAAGACGTTTACATTAATCAAATTTGTCAGTATTTCATTTTGCCTCCTTATTTCTAAACAAATGATTGAAGAAGAATTCATTGCAAATTTCATAGACAGTAATATCATGACTACAAAATGAGGCGTTTTTTATCTTGAATAACTTCGAAGGGTGTGAAACAATTATTAAGCATCACCTTTTCTGTGAATCTAAAAAAAAATATGCGAAAGTGGACCATAAAAAGAGATACAGAAACGGCTTTTGAGAGTATTTTTTATCAAGTTCAGCACACTGTATATATAACTAGTATGTCNTTGTAAGTAGTCACACACACACACACACACACGCACACACACACACTCAGAGAGAGAGAGAGAGAGAGAGAGAGAGAGAGAGAGAGAGAGACTGGTACCCGAGACAGCAGCGTGTTTTCATATATTACGCGTTTGCACAAACCTCTCGTAGTTCTTTTTAAACGAGGATAAGATGGAAACAAACCCCCGCAACTGTATAGAATTTTACTATGAAATGATAGCGACATACGAGTACGTATATCAGTTTGTATTCTAAAAAAAAAAAATAAATAACGGATTAAATAATGATGACAGGAAGACTTGCTTTCTTCCCCTCCCTCTCCTTTGCCCCAAGTTTTAGTCGAATATTTCACATCTACTTTCCATTTTGGGCAGGGTTTTGTACTGAGTGCATTTATTTCTTTTTTTTTTTTTGGGGGGGGGGGGGGGGGGGTTGGGGGTAGTTGGGAAGTTACTTTGCTCCCCTACCACAGATTCCTCATATTATAATGGCTAAATGTCAAAACAGTTTCTACCCTGTAAAACAGATTTCATGTTTTTACATGGGTTTGCTATGAAGATGAGACATGACTTGTGACCTTTCCAATTAATCTCTGATAGATGGCAAAGACATCGCATGCAGCAAAATCGCTTGTGGAAGCCGGGAGCTGGTAAAAACGTGGTTCCCGAAGTTCTGGAAAGACAATTACCCTGCAGACGCAGTGGCAGACAATCTCCCGCCTTTCCAAGGGATAGTGATACTGGACGTCGTTATGAACGTTGATCTGACGGCGAAGTCGCAGGATGTACCCACAGAATTTGTACAGGTGAGCGCCGCCCTGGGCACACCCGTTTGTTACATACATGTGTGTGACATAGTGAGTTAAATTAGCTGTATGTATAGCTTTTAATGATGTACTGATAACGTGCTCCTTTGCCTCGTGGGTGGTCACAGAAAGCAAGCTGTGCATCAATACGACATTTTGAGGGAGATATTTGCTTCATCTCACAGATTTTTAACTTTTTGTTAAGTCGCTCTTAAGTTGGCATTGTGCGTCTTTTATTTTATTTTATTTATTTATTTATTTATTTATTTATTTATTTATTTATTTATTTATTTATTTTTGTGCAACAAAATGCGTTAAAACAATTTACAAATTAGGTGAGCTCTGTCTTAACTCTGGTAATCTTTTTTGATCCAGGCGTTTCCTGACGTCATGAAAAATATTATTTCTCGGGATGGACGCGGAGACTTTCTGGCCATTATAGGCCGCTCTGAAGAACGAGATATGCTTGATCACCTTCAGACAGAGTGGAATAACGTGGCTGGAAATCCCCAGTATCACGTGAGTTCTTTCTTTTTTATTACTAGTTTTACCTAAGAAGACCAATACATACACATACTATTAGCATTCGCACCACAACTAACACCAACACCAATGGCAACCACGGTCCATTTTTTGGATGCAATTTTGAATATATTGTAGTTACAGCAAACAACTATGGGCATCTATGTCTTAAAAGTTAACAATGCTGCATTTGCGAACGTTTTGTCGTCCTACTAAGGAATGGGTGGTTTTCATCCACAAAGTCAAGGTGATCACCATTAAAAAATTTATTTTGAAATAATTGAAAAAAAATAACGATTAGTATAAGATAATACCTATTTAACGGGAACACTTTTTTGTTATTATTTCGATGATTTCTTGCAAAAAGTTTTTCTTCATATACCTTTTTATTTAATGACGAGAAGAACATGTTACTTGTAATTTTTCATTTTAGTGACATATGGTAATCGCAGTTCTTTTGTGGTTGTAGATTGAACGTTTCAATCTTCCGCCAATCGACAAAACTCCACTCACAGAGAAAGATGTATGGTCGCACTACAAAAATTTTGGGCGCAGTGACCATATTAGTTTTTGGCTAAGTAATCTCCCAGCAGTTTTGATAACAGACACGGGTGAGCTTGTTCTTTAAAAACTGTGTTTTTCCTCAGTTTCGCATTTCATAATTATGCAAATGATGCGGCACACACGTATATGTATCGTTATGTTATAACCCATGTGCATGTACTTAATCATTTTTCATATATGACATTAATTGGCAGCAGCAAACCGCTTTGAACAAGCATAAACTTATCATTGTAACATTTTATTGAAGTATAAAAACATTCTGAATGCAAAGCGACATCACCTTTGGGATGTATAGAAACAACGTGTGAACTTTTCAGTGAGGGTTGTTGTTTTCAACATTTTCATTGGGTTCCAGCTAATTTCCGCGGCGCAATGAAGAGTTGCTACCACACCACGTGTGACGGCATCGCTCTTGTTACAGACGACAATCTGGAATTCCTAGCACAGACCACAAAAACGATTATCAACACTATGGGGAAATTGTCTGGAATTTCTTGCCTGCATTCAAGTACATCGTTAAATTTTACATTTGGTAATAACCTTTATAATTTACTTAAACGAAATTAAGCCATGAGATATGATACAGTTATAATCAATTTATCATACTGAATGATGACTAGACTCTTTTCTTAGATGATAACCATATATATTGCTCTTCACTTGCTGTGCTGGCTTTGTTAGTAAAAAAAAGGTACTTAAGGATAAACATAACATTTTTTTTTAATTGAATATTTCGAGTAGTAACAATTTTGTCACTATTTCAACTCTTTTACTCTTACATACGACAAATGGAATGTACTGAATAATGTATGTGCGATAGATTTCTGTGCGTCGTCCTTTAGTCAATATCGATCATGTCTAATACGTGTCTTAAATTTCAGCCAATATAGGCGTGGACTGGACCATTTCGGGATTCGCACCCGCTCTTGTAGCGTTGACAACATCGATATCAATTGGACCCTTATTACTATAAGAACAAACTGTCGTTACGAGTAACCATATCCTGCAGTGGTTGATTCAGCCGTTGTAGAGGCAAGTGGAGTAAAAGTTGACCCAGTCACTGCAGACAGGCGGTGCGCAGTGGTTGGCTCAGCGGTTGGAGAAACTGGTTGAGCAGTGGTTGGTGCGGTAGTTGTAGAGGCATGTTCAGCAGTGATCATGCAGTGTAGCCGCTCTAGAACCGGGATGAGCTGTGGTTGGCTAGGCAATCGCAGATGTATATTAAGGGACGGTTGATGTGGTTTGGGCAGTGCTTGGATCATCAGATGTAAGACCGAGTTGGACAGAAGTTGAATCAGCCGTTGTAGAATCGGGTTGAGCACTGGTCGATTCATCAGTTGTAAGAGCAGGTTCAACAGTGGTCGGTTCAGCCGCTGAAGATGTCGGCTGAACAGTGGAGGGCACAGTCGTAGAAATGGATATAGAAGTGGTTGGTGCGGCTGTTGTGAAGGACGGTTGAATAGTCGGTTCAGACGTTGTTGTGGCGGGTTGTGTGGTGGTTGGCTCCGTCGTTGAAGTAGCGGGTTGTGTGGTGGTTGGTCCAGTCGTTGTTGTGGCGGGTTGTGTGGTGGTTGGTTCAGTCGTTGTTGTGGCGGGTTGTGTGGTGGTTGGCTCCGTCGTTGAAGTAGCGGGTTGTGTGGTGGTTGGTCCAGTCGTTGTTGTGGCGGGTTGTGTGGTGGTTGGTTCAG